AACATGCTAGGGCGCTCTCCTAATTATAAACGCAGGTCTACTAATAAAAGTTTATTAGGGAAATCTATGCTGAGATATCCCCTAACCATTTTAAATGTATATTCATCACAAAATATAACTCATCTGGTGAGATATTTCGCATGCGCTAACACACTAACGTAGCCAGTTGTGTACTGGCTGGTATACGCAGCGGGGACCTTACATGCAAGGTCTTCCTCCGACTTCTTAAATGATGTAAACATATGGAATGTTATCATATAAATCTATGCTAGGATAACTCCTTTTAATTTTAAATGCATAATTTTTGCAAAATACGATTTCTCTCGGGAGATATTGCGCATGCGCTTGCCATGTACCAAATCGATATGATGGTATCCATATGATACAGTCTGTAATGACTAGTATTACAAAAAAGCGTGCAACGCCGTTCACAAAAACACAATAAAGATATTTAACCAGCAGTATTACCAGAAATATTTTATTCTACACTCCCACACCATTTCTACACACATAAACGAAAAACAATCAATTTAAAATCCTATTGTTGGTAATAAAACGATCACATTCTAGTAACTATTATCTTAAATGGATAGTCATTTCAGATTGTTTCCAAAATATTTATTGCTGTTAAAAATAGTTAATTAAATGATATATTTGCATATGATTGCATTAATTTTTGTAAATAAATTTGAGAATTTTGCCATTGGCTTGGAGAACAAGAGCTTTTGAGCGTTGAAGCCATTACCGGGCAGTTGTTTCAAAAAACATGATTAATTAAATAATTAATTCTTAATTAATCAATAATATTTCATTTTATATTGATTATTTAATTATTCAGACATTCATTTATTCATTTATCTATCATTCACATATAATGCGCATGTCGCGTTCCTGACACAAACATACCCATTATTGTGAACCTATGATAATCTGTAATTTGTACCAAGATACCAAGATTTCCAACTAGGCATAAAATTTGCCCTTCTGACGGAGGATCCAGCCATAGCAGCAGTAAGGCGGGTCAGTGAGCTGTCCATGCACACGTCAAAGGAACTCGCACTCCCTGTGCATGCCTGTGTCTCCCCGACTGCAAAATGAAGACCGATAAATAATATATCATTTCATTATATTTTCAGTTGGCAGCTGGCTTCGTATAAGGGCGTTATTACCAATTTCATAGATAGAGAGACGGATGGATGGATGAATGAATTGATTGATGTATGGATGGACGGCTTTGCGGATGGATGAATTAATAGATGGACGGATGGAAAGATGGATGGATGGATGGATGGATGGATGGATGGATGGATGGATGGATGGATGGATGGAT